TGTATACATATGTCTGTTATTTTTATATTTTAATTTATAATGCAAATACTATGTTGAAATAATGTTTTCACTGAATACTGTTTACAATTAATGCGACCCGGGCACGCCAAGTTTTTTCTTCACTATAATCCAGTTGACAATTATAGTCACTTTTGATCTGTCTTATGTGACTGGCGTAATGAAGAATACACTTGGTCAATTATATTTATCTCATATCTGTTTTTGATCAAGAAGTTCAGTATCTTTTATATGCACTTGGCGTATGTTTTTTTTCTTTTTTTAAAAAAAGGTTTTTTATGGGATACTATGTATTTCCTGATTTGAAATATTTTTTTGCTTTTCATTTTTTACGTCATTTTAGGGTCTGCGCACAATAGGAGAAATATTAGGAACAGATATTAAATATAAGAATTTTAATCCTATCAGAACTGTGTACTGTGGAATGTGCGCTTTCTGACAGGTTAAAATTCTTATATTTAATATCTGTTCCTAATATTTCTCCTATTGCTAAGCATTTGCTATGTAATAGTCAGCTACGTTCAGCAGACTCAACAGTTGAGTGAGCGCTCTCTGTTATTAGTGTATTCTTCTAGATTTAAAATTTGATTGGATGATCTAAAAGAATACACTAATAACAGCGAGCGTTCACTCAACAGTTGAGTCTGCTGAATGTAGCCAATGCAATTATTCAAATTTAGGCTAATCTCTGCCAGTATATATTAACTTTAATCTCGAAATAATTTACTCTTTACTTTTTCTAATTTTTGAAATTAGAAGTAGATAAAAAAAACAAAAATTAAAGTTATCTACTTTGTTAGAAATGGACACTATGCAGACGATTGGTCAGATTGGTTATTCAGTTTGCCGCTCGTACATGGACGGTGAGTATTGCTGTTCGCTTGGAACATTCCGTAACGGTGACCGAAATGTTTTATAATAAATTATTCACGAAAGTTATTCTTGCTGGTCATAGAAGCAAGTCTGTAAAGTCATTATCGATACGCTTGCAGAAGATGATAACCTGAAACCCTGCCGATCTGTGCTGCATTATCGTGACGATAAGTTAAGGTTATATTTACGTCTATGGGAGCCGCGATTACGAGGGAACACTATTGATAGCGGCTGTGTTCTGAAATCGGTATAGAACCATGGAGTCGTTTCGCGTATTTCATAATTTTAAGTTGGACATTCTCGACGAGAGTTGGATCAAGTCAGTTTGGGACGCCGAGTTTGTTATTTATGACGAGCCATCCAACGAGTGTCTTGATTACTTGGAGAGCGATGACGTGAGGCGGTTGCTACAGGAGTCCCGCCTCGAGCTGGAGGCATGGCTTGCTGCGAACGAATGCGGCGGGAGCCCCGAATTTTCATGGCAGGCCCTGATGATGTTGAACATCAACGTCCGCGGTTTACTTGCTATGCTAGGTTATATAATGAAGACGGGCCAGCAAGAGACAAACAAGGACTCCATCCAGGCATGTCTGGAAGCCACAAGTTTGTACCTTATGTTCCTCACGATACCTGGCAGCAGTGCGTTCAGAGTTTACCATCCGAATTTATACCAGAGAGCGATAGATACATTGAAAATATCCAAGAGTTTATTCTCCATTAAAAGTAATAAAGAGGAAGACGATGAATTGTCTTTATATTCCAGTTTGTTGCATTCTGAGAAATTAAAACTCACAAGAGGATTAAACAGGATTATTTCTAATCTCATTACAATGTTGAAATCATTTCGCTTTAAAGAAGACGCCGAGTCCTTAGATGTTACAATTCGCATATTGCTAAATATCACAAGATTGGAAATGTACGTCAAGTCTCACTACAATTCAGGAATAACGTCTTTATCTCAGAATGCGTTTGCAGCTCTGCAAGAGCTATGCAATAGCAATCATGGAACAGTAGCTTTAACTATAATGTTAATAGCGCAGTATATGTTGCCTGATTTGTCATTTCATCACGCACAACCAAAATCTATAACTATTGTACATGAAGCAGCTGTATATTTTCTGAAGAATTTATTAACAATTCATGAGCAGGAAACTGTGCAGGGAATTGTCACTTTAATACATCAGTTGATGGTAAACTGTCCAGAAAGATCGGAAGGCCGTCAAAGGCAAGCGGTTGTTATAATAAAATTGTTGAATATATGTAAAGAAGATATAATTCTTGACATTTTTAGAGACATAATATTATTTTCACACAATAATAAGTCATCTTATAGATTATTTGCACAGGAAATTGTAGGAATGCTCTTGACAGAATCGTTTCTAACGAACGATAACTTAAACAAAAATATCAAGATGAAAATAAGAAGGATTTTGATAGCTATTGTATTGTCTCGCTGTATGGATCGGTCTGCTTTAGTGAGAGGAAGAGCTATGGCCACGCTTGCTTTGTTCTCTGATTGCAACAACGAAGCTGACAGGGTTGTTCTTCAAAGTATATTCAAAGTTTCAGTCTCAAATAAAACGTTTCCCATGCTTGAAGATCTAGAAGAAGCGTTGTTGAAGGATGTTGATCTGTTACCAGGATCAGCTGCTTTAATTGCAATGTTGTTGGATAGAATCAATGACGAGCGTGCACTAGTGCGACGGAATGCTTTGAAGATCTCGAGAAACCTCGCCATCATGTTCCCATCGCTAGTAAGTAAAATGTTGCAGGTAATAAGCGATCGTTGCAGAGATTCCACCTTAACTGTGCGCCAATTTGCCGTGCACATTTTATCCGAAATTTTGCAGGAGTTCCCTCACAATTCAAGTCTTCTCGACGAATGGATACAGGCTGTTGTACCGCAAATATTCGACATTGAGGCAAGAGTACAAGGGAAGGTGCTGGAGTGTCTGGAAGACGTGTTGATAAATAGAATAACGAACGCCACTAACTATATTCCGAATGCTGCGAATAGCTTACCATGGAGGATTCTGAATAGGTTGAGTAATCTGAGAATGAGGAAACATCTGTCGAAAGCTTGCAGCTTGTGGGTGAAGAACGGTGTTATTAGCGAGTCTATGATATCGAATTTGCAATCGCACGTTGGTACAGATAATACTATAGGCGCGTGGATTCTGTTGGCCGCTTTATCCGAGAATATGAAGATTCCGAATATACGTAAATATATCACGGATTATAAGGAAATTATTCGAAAGAACGATTTCCACGCGAGTTTAGTTTTACACGTTTTGAGACACGCTTGGTCTGTCTTGGATCACGATTGTCTCGAAGATCTCTATCAGCATCTTCACAAATCTATTTGCCAATTTGAAATCAATTTTAACTTAATCAGCATCTGTCTAGATATTTTGAATAGTATTTTACGATATTTACATGCCGACCAGAGCAGCCATGCGATAGAATCGGATATGGTGAAACTGATGAAATTGTCGGAGACAGAGATTCAAGATTTGTTGAGGGAGAACAGAAATTGTACGCAAGACACAGTGAAAATCAGAGCTGTATTTACGCTGGGCCATGCATCGCTTTTCTGCACCAACAAAATTTCATCGTCAACTTTACGAATTTTTGAAAGATTACTGTTGCAGTGGGAATCACTACCAGATACGGTGAAAGAAATGAAGGATCTTCAGGCGTCCGCGGTGATCCTTCTCTGTCAGCAAGCGCTGAGAGATTGTAAAGTCGCGAGGGAAGTCACACCGATACTTGGTAACGTAATGCGTCAGGGAACGAATTCGAATTCGTTGATAAAAACGTCGGTCAAGATAAACGCTGCGAAAGCGCTGGCCGATATCTGCGTGAGATTTACTGCTCTTGTGGAGCCATACCTTCCGGATTTATGCATCAGCATGAAGGATCCGAATCCAGCCGTACGAGAAGCCATAGTGGTGATATTTATTCAGTTATTGTTGGAAGATTTTATAAAACTGAAGGGACCATTTTTTTTTCATATATTAACGATGCTGTCGGACACAAACAGCATGATACGTGAGCTAACTACCTTTCTAGTGGAAGAGAGACTTTTGATGAAGAACAAGACTTTGATTTCTCAACAGTTTCTGGATAGCATATATCATTACAACAATTACCACTCCCGAAACGCGTATACCGGCCATAGAATGCTCGATCAGGAGATGAAGCTTCTAACTCTGCCTGGAAGAGCGAATGAAAAGAAACGTAATGTCATTTACGAATTTATGTTGGAGCATCTGGACATGTCCGCGAAGTTTGAACTTGTTACGAAACTGACCAAGCATATATTTCGTGAGGTATGCGATGGGAATTCTATCGACGTTACGATCGAGGAGGGTGCATGCGTCTTGAAAGATGCATTGTTCATACTCAACAATAATCGTTTGCAACTATCTTCTGGTGAAAGACACAGAGATGATACGGAGCTTGATGAAACAAGTTCGACTCCCTCAAGTACACCTAACAACGCTTCGAATGTCATTATAACGGGATTGAAAAAACATAACTTAGATAATTTATTACCTACAATAATTATGCTTAAAAAGAAATTAGTTGCATTAAAGTTTCCCTTGAAAGAAGATGTAGACAAATTGTTATTCAAAATTTACTCGGAATATGACAAAGAGCAGCTAGTCAATTTATTAGATGAATATCCTGAATTAGAAAAAGAAATGGATTCTTATCAACGGTATGTGTAAAAGTTTAAAAATGATTCTACATTACTTTATTTTAACATATAATAAAATCATAAAATTCTTGTATATTGTGATTTTATACAAAAAAGATAAAAATTAACTTCGATTTAAAGACTTAACGATTATGAAAGATAGGTATTAAAGTTTGTACATCTTTTTAGATAAATTATTTCTATTAATTTGACTCTTTTTGCATTACACAATTGGTCATTTTTATATTAAGAGTCCTTGTATTAAAATATTATTTTTGTACATCTTTGTTGAAACGTTTTTTCTTATAATTTATCTCATCAGAAATATATACTATGTAAATATATGTGATGTAATGTTTCAGGAGACTGAAGGATAAAATAAATTCAGAAAATAACGGTGAAAGCAGTTCGTCGGCCAATATAGGTAACAATGATTCGCTAATAGGTACATGTAAGCGAGCAACACCCCGAGTCTTACTCCATCGTATTTCACCCTCGTTACTCACATCATCTTATGACAAGTTAATTGCAAGTCCGGTGCACCTGGAAAGATTGTTGCTACAAACACCACCTCCAGAGCCGAGCTTTATTACCAGCACGCCTACATTGACGCAGAATTTAAATTCTAGCGATTTTCTCACTTCAAGAAAAAGATCAAACGAGCAAGAAATATCACCAGATATTTCTCGTAAAAATCTAAAGGTCAGTGATTAATGAACTAATCGATGTTTAATGCCAATTTTGATCTCACTTTTAAACATCACGTTTACGGAATGTACAAATCTACCTACCTCGTAACTTTCGCTGCACGTGAATAGCCGTCTGTGAAATCGTACACGTGCGAGTATCTAATTCTTTTTGCAAGTCTACAAATAGATATATGTATATATTTATATATATGTATGAATTGTAAATTTTTCGTACGACTTTTGGATACTGCCACTTACCCTTATTTGTGTGCGATAGGACATTGTTATGCAAGTTCTTCACGATAGAAACATTTTCAACTATAAGGTGAATCAGACCGCGTATTTCCTCGGCCTAAATTAATACACTGTGTCTCAATCATTTTGATTATGAGAATATGTAATGGTTTCATGATAACTTGATACATTCATACGTACTTCATCAAGTAACTCTTTGAGCTTTTTATTTTGAGCTATTTGGAGGTGTACGTCTTGCAAGAATCCTCTGCCAAAAGTACTGCTGTTGCTTCGGCTCTGGAGAAGTTAAGTATGTGGTAATTTCGAGACTGTTTATTTCAGAATTGACATAGAGACTGGTGTTTCATTTTAAAGACTATAATATTATGTTTCTGTTAATGTTGTTAATGCTTTAAATACTTTAAACTCTGTTATAAAAAAAAACACGTAAAACATTAAAAAGATCGATTAAGTACGTTAAAATGTTTAAGACATGTTTAAAACATGTTTTTTACCAATCCTGATTTATTTGCGTGAACATATTTTCAGTAAAAAAGTATATTATATAATATATATTTAAAAAATATAAATATTTATAATTAGATATTAATTATATGTATATGTCGCAGCCTTTTTGCGAAATCAGCCCTTTCGGAAAAAGGCTATCCTTCTGTATTGTATTCTTTAATCATAAGCGAAAGTAACGATAAGTTGATTCGAAAGTGAACATTTTTTTTTATTAAAACTTTTCTTTACGCGTACGATTCATGCACCAACATATCGTTCGAGATTATATACTTATTAATTAATGGTTAAAGTCCTTTCTTTTTCGATACATTTCTAATAACTACAGAAAAAATAAAAATACTAACAGCACGCAGGTCAGCCATACGATCGCGGACCATGATGAATATTTCTTTAGAATCGGCATATAACTGATAATTCTGTGAGTGGAATAAATACAGTATGCTTCGTTATCTCTCTTATCAGTGCACTATGAATATCGGGTAAAATCCGTTTTGCCGTTTCGTACCTCGCAGTCGATACATTGTCAACGGAGAAGCACTCTAACTCGAGTGTTTCTTCGACTGAAATGCGTGACACGCTTCTAATGTGCACATAGGTTGAAGATACTTTGCATCTGAAATGAAATAGGAAATGGGCACTTAGCAGCTGTGCGTCAGAAGGCCGTTGCAATTATACGTTTCTTTATTAATTTATTAATTCAAAGCAATCTATTATGTGTTAAAAGATGTCATTTATTTGTAAAATTGTAATATTAAAGACGAAATAATTACATTTTCAACAGCAATTTCTATCAATCAACATCAATCATTAATCTTTTCTGTGTAGAAATCTTTTCAGTTTTTTTTGATATTTAAATTAAATTTAAAAAATAGAACTTGATAGAAAATCATCTTTGAGATACCAACTTAATATTAAAAGTAAATTTAGATTAGTTTACAATGAATACTGCCAGTTTGTTTTTCTTATATAAAAATATATATTTATAAATTTATTCACAAGGCACATAAATAGTGTGCCCTTAAATAAATGAAAATGTAAAACTCACTTAATACGTGTTGATAAGTAATTATCTAGAAATTTTCTATATATTTCTTCCATATTTTGACTATATTTAATATTTAAAAAGAGTAGGAAGGAAAATAAAGAAAAAAATTTGTTTAATATTGGTGGAGTTAAATCAAATTGTTTTATTATAGTAAAATGTTTTAATTATTTTTAATTATTAATTGAAAATTAGTAAATTTAAAGTAAATTTTGTAGATAAAACTGTATACGAATTATTTTATTGTCACTTACATTGCAATAAATTTAGTATTATAAGAATATGAAAGAAAGAGCTCATCAAATAGAATTTAATAAAAATAGAAACAAAAAATGCGTATTTATAATAAATATAGTTTTTCATTTATTTTCAAACAATTTTAATTTATAGCATTTTGAACACTATATGAACTATTCTGTGATATTTTGCAAACCAAACCTGGCTAATTTCATTGTACAGTAGAACCTCTTTATAGTCCACCTCTTTATATCACGACCTCCGTATAAGCACACGTTTGTAATCCACGTGACGCGTCTCCATGACAATTGTTTGCGCAGTTGTCTGCTTAGACGCACTCAGGTTCGTCTTCGTATTTTTAGTGCTCGATTGTAACCTTTGGGAATAGCCTACTATTTATATATTAATTATTTTGCGTAATTGTTAATTGCTTAATTACTTTTAAGTGTAAACATGAATTAAAAGAGGAAGTGTATAATAATAAGCAACAAGCAACAGATAATTGAGGAGATTGCTTCTGGATCAAAAATTAAAGATGTAGCAAGAAAATATGGTATCTCATCAAGTTGTGTGTCAAAAGCTTTCTTATTAAAGTAAGAAATCTTTTGTTAGTCACATTTCAACAAAATAAATAATCGATATTCGCAAATTCTCGCAAGTGCTTTAATACGCGTGTATCTCTTTATATAGAATCTCGATTGAATAACTCTTGCAGGCGTATAAGGTAGGCTTCCAGTACAATGCCTTACTGATGAGTCCAGTAGTGGAAGCTGGGACGAAACGCCATAATTAAGTAATATTCTTCGCAATATATTAAAATTAATTCTTTCGTTTACTAATGATGGTCAGATTAAAGGCCGAATCGTTTATCAATAATAAAAATTTTATTTTAATATTCTACGAAATACATTATATTTTCGCTATAAATCCATCCAGTGTCGTGGTATATGCTTTTTTTTAATTCCTTTGTTAAAATAAATAGTTATCAAAATATGTGCTTAAGAAGGCTACTTACGGTCCTACTTTTGAAGCGGAGCTACGATAATCTCTTTATTGTCGCATTTGATCCCGTGTGACGCTCGGGTGCGTTCTGTTTTTACATGGTGCGCATAATGCATTGTTTATCCTTATTGTTCACCAAATGTTAAACGAGGACAATGGATACATTATGCGCGATACGGGACGCACCTTATAAAGAGGTCCTACTGTATGTGTATGTGTAAAAATTAGATATATAAGAAAAAAAATTAATAAGAAACATTAAACAGGAGTACAAATAGTATTAATTCAGCAATAGTTGTATAACATTATATACGCGCATATAATATAATACATGAAGGAACAATAATCAAAGTTGTTTCAATGTAACGAAGTATATTTATAACATGTAATTTTATACATTAGAAGTCACCTGCTTTCTTTACAGAAAACTATTATTCTTTTTGCACTTTTTCGTTAACAATAACGATAACTACATCTAATGAACTGTGCTGTTTGTTAGGAAGACAGGAATACTTATTACTTTTCTATAGAGCTAAAATTGTTACAAAATATTTAAATATCATTTTAAAGTAAAATGTTTAAGTATCACACTGTATTTTAACTTCGATAGAAATTAATTTTTTAATAGGTGAGTGATAATATAAATGATATTTTATGCGTTCAATTATTGTAATTTTTAAAAGAAAATTACCTGGTGTGCGCGCGTCGATGTTATATATAAATATATATATATAAAATATATATATGTATATATTTAAAAAATAAAATATAATTTCTAAACAAATATGACTTTATCGCCCTTATTCATCTCTCTACACAGTAGAATAGATAAAAGATCTGGAATTTATATTTACACAATACGAAAATATTTATCTCAAGGCAAATCAGTCAGTCTTATAAATTCGTTAATTTCAATAAATCAATTGATGTTTTTCCCTTTAATTATATTATAATCAATATAATTATTTTGTAGACAGACTGTTGATATATGAAATTTTCATTGTATGCAATTGCATAAGATTACTGCTAACAGATGAAGTTTATAAAATCTATCAGCGAATTTTCGATTGGACGTACTAGTTACCTAGTACATATTAAAGTCATCATATATTGATTTAATTTGAGTGTATAAAACTAAAAGATAAATATATTTTGTAATTTTGTAAAATGCATACTCTTTACCTAACAGCATGATAAAGTGTATTGAATAATCTTATGGTTTAACCGGTTTCTGTGTTTATAATAAACATGTATCTTTATGTCAATTTGTGTACGACGACTTTAATGTGCATCAATGCGCGCTGAATGCATCCAATTGAATTCGCTATAGGTTTGTGTTACGTACTGTGGGATATATCAGAATAAAGTAGATTATTTTTCGATATTTATAACATTTTAGTATCATTTTGTACGTTTGGCAATAGAAAACTGTATTAAAATATTTTTACCGAAATTTACAATAGAACGAAATGGTATGATTATGTATATCTGTTTGTTTCAATCGTGCTTTTTTATTACTATTTTCAGTATTTAAAAGGAAACAGGCTTTAGAGTGAAAAAAAACGATGCGAACAAACAGATCTTAATCACTTTCATAAAGACGGATTTCTGCTCATAATCTTTCTTCATATAATCGACTTTTTTATTCTGGTTAACGTATTCGCTGTCATTACTGCATGAAATTAAATTCTCTTCATTGTCACATCTTTCGCTTAGTGTGATCATCATTAATATCACTTACAGTACAAAGTAACACACGAAAAAGAATAGCTCTATTTTGTTATAAGGTTTCATCAGTACTAAGAAGATATACATATATTATGTTTCGCATTCTTAAAAAAAACATAACATTCTTTAATAACATATACAATAAAGTAATAAAAAACTTCACATATTATATAACATTCTTTTATCAATAATAAAACTATCGACTTTAAAAACAGGCTACTCTTTTTCACATTCTATTTGTGCCTTACATCTTGCTTCAAAATACTGCGATCGTCGAGTCGAGCTCGTCGAATATCGAGATTTTCGACATGATAATATCAAGATAAAGGAAGTATCGCTAACAGGATGCGGTTCGCACTCTTACTTTATCCCTCAGGTAATTGGCGACTTGCGTCTGTGAGTGTCGGACGGCCAGTTGAAGCGGCGTGATGCCCTCCTGATTTACGAGCAAAGGATCAGCCCCCGCTCCCACGAGCTGCCTCGCAACCGTCATGTGTCCCGTCAAGGCTGCCGCATGTAAAGCACTTTCGCCGTTCTGGAAACGTAAAGAAACCTAACAGTTATTGCGCACAACAGAAACTATACACGTAAAATTTCATTAATTATAGATTAAAATTAACATAAAACTAAATTGAAATAAAATAAAATAGTAATATATTTGTAACTCCATATCAATAAGTCTACGACAAATAAAATGCCTATGTGAGCCTCCGTAAATATGTTGATATGTTTAAATTATATCTGGAGACACGGTAGTGTCTCGGTGCTAAGACATGGCGTGATATTCACAATGCGATAAATACAATTCGTAATTAATTGGGATTTACTTATCAAACGAAGTTAAAGTAAACGCAAATTAATATCTCTTATTGCGAAAGTCAAATACAATGGCTTTATTCTACTAATAATTTATACTAGACTTCCGCACTGGAGAGGACCAAATCCAGAATCAAATATTTGCGTTCGTTTTATCTTCATTTGATAAGTAAAACTTAATTGATTGCAAATTATATTCATCGCGCGGTATAAATATACCTATAACTAAAAATCCGCGGAAACTTACATAGGAATTTTATTGATATAATTAAATTTAAAGTACACGAATCTTTTTAGATCGTTTAAAAAACACTCATCGATTTTTCTCTAACCCTTACCGGGAGAATACCAAGTGAAGGACGGTACTTGAGCAACTCGCCGATCACGGCAGTGTGACCCTTGTGGGCGGCTTTGAAAAGCGGGGTTGCGCCGTCCTGTGAAAGAAAATTGTTTGCGATGACAAGCTGTATATGCATGGCACAATAGCGAGAGCTCACTTTCGGCGATTATACGGCACGCGATCTACGTGAGACTTACGTGTCTCGTGGCGTCGACCTTCGCGCCGGCTCTCAACAGCCTCCTAACGACGTGATCGTGTCCCATTTGCGATGCGATCCATAGCGGTGTAGCACCGTCCGTTCTTACCGCATCTGTCTTCGCTCCGTGCTCCAGGAGGACTTCCAAAATACGAAGGTGGCCGTTTTGGGCAGCGATGAACAATGCCGTGGCACCGTCCTAGGAATCATTTTTTAACTTTTTCTCACACTAATATATATATATATATATATATACACACACACACATACACACGCATTGTTATTAAATACTATACATTGAGCAACGTCTCTTCCGACTAAAGCGTGTTGATCATTTTGGTAGTAACTTAATCTTCATAAATTGAAGATTTTCAATTTATGTTTAATGAAAGAATTAAATTAAGAAATCTTTATTATTCTCAAAAAGTCGATTTCTCGTAAGGTAAATATCCCAATATAACGGACACATATGTATAGGATCAATGCCCAAATACTTACACAAAATCTATTATTATTAATTTCAAATACTTTTTTTTTATTGTAATATATAATTAAACTGTATTTACAATTATGATATTATATTTAAAAAAATATTAGAGATTAATATAAACAAAGTTTTGTGTAAATGTCGGACATCGATACATGTCTGATTACTAGAACATTTATCTCATTCAAACTTAATCAGATATATTAAGGGTATATATCAGTAATATTCGTAATATTTTTATATTTAACTTAAGTAGTACCCTAAGTTATGAAATTAATTATAGAACAGAGTATTAACTTCTTTGGACATTATCTTAAGACGCTCTTGAAATAAGAACAAATTATGAATAGTGAGAATTATTAATTACCGGCGAACCTGTTGGTGTCGGCATTTTAAACGCATTTTTTTTTACCTTCATATGAGCGTTCGGACAGGCGCCTCTCTCTATTAAGCCCTCTACCACGTCCAGATGACCGTACTGACATGCGACGAAGAGCGGCGTGCCGCCGTCCTGAAATTCACGTGGGACACATTAGCGTTAAAGAGCAGCCAGATCGAGTTACACACACGCGTTAAGGTCTCCTCCACCTCTCTACTTACTATGCTGCACGAATCCACGATCGCGCCGTGTTCCAAAAGCAGACCCGCGATGTCCATGTATCCGCCCTGAGCGGCGAAGAACAAAGCTGTTGTCCCGGTCTGTGAATACAAGATAAATGCAAACATTATCATATGTGTACGATTATTACATACCGCCTTGTGGACGACTGTGCAATATATGTATCATATATGCAGCTGATCCACTTATTTCAAGAATCTTAAATATTTTTTGAAATAAATTGTCTTTAAAAAATAATAAAACTAGATACGTTTATATAGATTTTTGCAGAGTTCACATAATTGTTACCAGTAAAATAGATAGTTTTTTCTACAATGATTCTTTTTACAGCTTTATTTATTTGTTATAGCTTTATATTCTCAAAGAATATAAACGTTCTGATCCAAGTAGCAAACTAATGTTATTTGACATCAAAATGACAATAAATAACATCAGAGCTGAAAGCTTAAACTCAAAATTATATAAATTCACAAGAAATAGTATTAGATATGTGAAGAACCGCTTTGATCGAATATAACATTTTTCATTTATATATGTTAAATAGCATTACCTTAATATCTGAGAAATATTCTTTCACTTTCGAAAATCAAGACGCTCAAGATAAGCGGATCAACCCGAACCTCTGCAAAGTTTAAAGTGAAATATCACGGAAAACTCTTCGCGATATGTAAAATGTAACAGTTTCTATACAGGACGCAGAAGATAAGCACTGTGGGAAAGCAGAGAATAGATGATGTATGTTTTATCTCCGAGAAAAGGAAACTCAACTTCTACATCTACCTGCATAAATAATTTAAATATAAATGGCTGCATTATTTAAAAAACAAATTCCGATGAAATAGAAGATGTATGACATTAGAAATAAAATTTTTAAAAATGATTAATAAATTTTTTCTCTTCTAATAAAAAGAACAAAGCGATTTTTTTCGGGTTATTTTTTCGCACGTCTTGAAAGATATTTATGTGCATGTAATATCCTATAATTTCGTCGTAATTTCATCACGAAAGATACATCGCGCGGTTCAACGGCACGTGTGTTAGAATTACACAGAAAATTTGACGTGACGTCAGCTGCCACTTAGCGATATGCAAATGTCACGTATCTCCCGCGACCCACCTATAATTTATATCTACGATAAATCGACATAACATGCGGACGTATATAGTCGGCAATTGCGTCGACTGCGTCATTAATAATAATATCGAATTGCGTTTTATTGGCCGATGTGAAAGAGAAATGTCGATTTCCTTCGGAGTGCGAGAGACATTTGGATACATACTTCTCTCTACGGTTCACTTAGAAGTACGCCCAACTTTCTTCCATCGCTTGCACCTGTATACGTATATATATCTCTCTCTATATAACACGAGGAGCTACGATATGTCATGCTTAACGGTAAACTTTAGCGGCGAGAACCGGTCGCGCGGAGCGGCCTTGATATTTCGAGCAAATGTCAAATCGAATCTCTTCTGGCGAAAGAGAGAAATGAGAAATTATTACGAGGCACGTGATTTAGGAATTTTCCTATACTTATTTTTCCTATCCAGCACAAATATTGTCAAAACATAAATAGAAAAATATCACAATTAATCTGTTGCTAATTTATTCTTTTATATTATCTACATTTATTAATTTATATAAAAATCAACTAAAGATTCTATAATTTTTTTCATATAATCAACCGGTTATTTTAAATCCAGTTGTTGTAAAAGATTATTTTATTGGTGTTGTTTAGAATATTATTAATAAAGCCATCGTTAGTACTAAACTTGGCAGCCGCAATTTATCGATTTCTGACGACATAGCATGTTTTACAATACAACGTACGTGTCCTTCACCTGATTAAGATAATATCTCGCATTAAACCGTAACTATCCACGATCCGGAACATGTGTCGTGCTTGAATCGCATAAATTTTCGAAACTTTCGTCGATCGCAGTTTCTGGCGGTTAGTTACGAGATACGGCTTTTTAGGCTGCGATGAGACAATTAGAATTCAGCGTTACGCTTTCACGAGATAAGATAAATTTTCCTGGACTGTCGAGCGATTTTAATCGTTTCCTAATGGACGCGGGGAAGAGTCGTAAAAAGTAAAAGGCTCGTTAGAACGAAACATTAGTAAATTGCTGAACTCGCGTGGTGCTCTTTGAAGTAGATGCAGCGACGCTCGACACTTCTTAGAAGCGACCTGTGAAAGAAAATTGAAGCATTCTCTTTCTGGCGTATACAACGTAAATACTTAAGAGAGTGCAGAATTTTTTAACGTACATTTACCATAATACTGCAAATTATACTTTCAAATTCCTCGTCGCGTGGAACATAAGATCTCTCTCTCTCTCTCTCTCTCTCTCTCTCTTTCTTAGAGATCTCTTTGTAAGTCTTTTCAAGAATGACACGCCTAAAGAATTGTAATGAGACAAGACTCCAATACTATCCAAATCTTTAGAAAGAAGAATGGTACAAACTGCGCGCAATGGACAGTTCGTTTTCATTTTCGATATTTCACTTTATCATAAATTTATTTCCTGATTCAATTTCTAATTATAAATATGACTTCTCAATCGCGTGAATTATTTTAAAACTTTCTTTTATACACAAAGCAAATTTGTGTATGCAAAATAAATTTGTCTGTCAAAATGTAAATCAATTCATTTCTGTGGTTACTTTCGTCCTTAAAGCATGCACTTAGTAAAAATTATTAAGTCAAATTAATTCATAAATAATAAATTAAATTTGAATCATGTTTAATAATTCTCTTGAGTTAAATTGTTTAATTTCATTGTTTTAGTTAAATTAACGATATAATAAGTAAGAGTAGCAGTGCCGACTTAAAAAAATGATTAAAAGATAAACTATACTCGGTTATAATTTGATATTATTTAACAGTGTGGTATCGCTAAGCGAGCGACTCACTGGATCCGATACAAGTAAAATGCACTTTCACTGCCATAAAAGCTCCCAGTCGAGGGAGCGGCGAACTCGTAGCTTTATTCATTATATATCCTGCCGTTCCACACCCTGACGCGATCATATCTTCGAAAGATATAACGCAAATTAATCCTTCGATATTACTTCCGGGGAAAAGAGACGACGGGAAAGACCGGAAACACTTTACGCTTCCGTTTTCGATCGCTCTGCTTCCTCTCTCTCTTTCTTTCTCTTTTAATTCCGCTAACACGTGGCAAATCTTATTCTTTTTTTTTTTTTTGCAGCATATCTCTGCTGTGGAAACGGGCTCCCGCCGATGCACACGCCACGGAGTTACGTGTGCCGTGATGCGTGGCGAACGAAGCGGGGACATAATACCTATCCATTACCGAACCGCAGAAATTCTATAACGTAACGATCAACCTGTCACGTATGGCCCGCATTGCTGCCGATCCTTTCGCTTCGCTCTCGGTGCGATCAGGCATATAAGGAAACTCGTAGAAATCCGGTCTGTGTTCAAGATAAAAAATGCCCGACGCGTATTCACCAGACACCATGGTGTAAGAAAAACTATCAAGGAAGTAATCTGAGCAGACGTCAAAACTAGATCTAAATAGAGATATTTTTTCAGGAAAAATTTTTGCTTATTTCATTAGACATGAGAAATTCTTTTGAGTGTTGCAAATGACTATCTCAAATACAATTTATAAATTAAGAACAAAATTTTTGATACTTGTGATTATAATTACACAAATCATATCACATCAAATTAAAAATCATAAATACCAAAAACTTATATGTATATCAATAATATAAAAAACTCAGTACGTATACGAAACTATTAATCATGATGGAAAAAGTGCAAAGAAATGAGTGTTATAAGCAAATTTTGTTATCTCTTTTTGTCTTCCTAATCGTAAAATTTACGTTTTCGTGAGAATTTCATACGAATGAATAACTTAAACGAAATATCGATAAAAATTGGATATTTTAATATCGATCGAAAGAGAGATAGAAAGGTTAATTGAAGATCTGATCGCAATCCACAGATGTCTGGATCAGTCACGTGCACATAGCGGTACCACACTTACGGATGCAAATCCCGCCGATTGAACATCGGTCTCAAGTAGGGCAACAAAAGGTCAGTTATTTTTGTTTGGCAAGCGCGCGGTGTTGATTTTAAATTGACCGAAAAAACGGTCGAATAATAATTAGCAACGATAATTAAGCGCGCGTGTTATAATACTTCCGTGTAGGTATGTGTTGCATTAAATAAGGGATCGATTAGCGTTGAATTAACTTAATTGAGGTGTGATACAATCGCTTCAATTAAGTCTAATATTCATTCTTTAACGAGAATGTCGTAGCTATACAAGATCTAATTTATCGGAAATTGAGTCGAGATGACCCGACAGGTATAACGTGTCATTCACCCTCGTCGGCGTTGTCCATTTTTAGACGATCGATAATCGCGGGTAGAATTTTTAGATGATACATGTGCACTATATATTGAGAGAAAAATCTTATCTTTTAAATTCTTATATTCCCGCGTTCAAGATTTATAAGTTATATCTCATTCATGAAAATCAAGATAATATCGGAGTTTATGAAAAAATGATATATCTGTGTTAATGAGTTAAAGAGAAGATAATAATTAACTATTATACTTATTAAAGAAACAATTAATCTCAGAACGTTGCAAGCCAATTTTATAGAATAAAATGTTATATTTAAACAATTCATGGAAATTTACCATACATAAATATCGATGTATACGATTCCGTAACATCTATATATAATATTTTTAAAAATAAACTATTACTTTTCAGCGATTTTTTTCGAAGAACCTAAACAGTTTGTTGGAAAATAGTACGACTTAATATTGAATTGATAGCGATGCTTTTTTGATAAATTCTACTATCTATTTATAAATAGACAAGAAAATTATAAAGACACACTTTCTTTCAGTAAAAACAAATAAAAAATATTATCTTTGTATATCCTTACACTTTCTAACATTTCTGTAAACGAACATTTCGCTGCCATGCCGCACGCGCGATTTTCTTACGTATCTATGATGATACCCACGATAGTATGAATAACACGTTTAAATAGATTGTAGACACACAGTGTCAGCGATAATTCCTGAAC